CTTCAATATTCATGTCGTCATGGTAACGTTAATCTCAGTCAATATCTCATTGAAGTACAACACAGTGACATTAACATAACAGATAATAAGAAATGGAATGCATTAGATCATAGTGCTAAAAGTGGTAACATGAAGCTAGTCCAATACCTCATTAATAATCATCAATTGCCTCTCACATCATTTGCATTACTTCAAGCAGTACGTAGTACTAAACTATCATTAATTAAATTATTAGTTAATGAATATAAACTAGATCCTCAATTTAAAGATAGTGACGGTATGCAAGCAGTTCATTGTGCAGCTCAAGTTGGTGCTATTGATGTCTTAGAGTATTTAGTAAAAGATTGTGGATGTGATTTGGATAGAGTAGGTGGACCATACAACAATAATGTGTTTCAATTTTCTACAACAAGAGGTCATTTTTCATTTATTAAATATATTATTAATAATTATCCACAATATACTAGTCTATTACATTCTACTGATGATAATGATACTCTACCAATTCATTATGCCTGTGCTAGTGGTGTAATACAACTAGTGACATTTCTAATTGATGTAATGAAATGTGATGTTACTACTAAAAATAAGATTAACTATACTTGTGTCACAGAAGCATGTTCCTCTGATAATCTTGATCTTTTAAAATTATTAATAAAACAATACAACCTTAATCCTAGAATATTCAGCATTGGATCATCACAAGAAATTGCAGTGGCATATGGACATGTTCATATACTAGAATGGCTCAGACAAGAGTATCATATCAATGTAGCCTCATTTAAGAATGGTGCATTACCTTTTTATGCTGCACAATACAACCGTTTGTATTGTTTAAAGCATTTATTAAACAATTATTCATTTGATATTAATGCCACTGATCCCTTTAATGATACTCAATCTACACTCCTTCACATAGCATGTCAGAAAGGACATGTTGCTATAGTTCTCTACCTCACTAGTCTTCCTCAGTGTGACGTATCAGCTAAAACTTCAAATGGATCAACAGTTCTTCATTTATCATGTAAAAGTCGTTCTCTTCCTATACTCAAACATCTAGTGGAGGAGCATCAGTTGGATCTCACTATTAAAGATTACAATGGAATGGCTCCAGTTCATGTAGCCTGTGAAGAAGGATCATTGAGTATAGTCAAGTACATTATAGACCATTCACCATTATCTCTTGATATGACCGACTCTTTTGGACGTACTCCACTACTTATTGCAGCTTTCTCTAAGAACCTTCCCATCATTCGTTACCTCAACAGTAAAAACTGCAACATTTCTATACTGGACGATAAAGGGTTTAACGTAATACACATATCGGCAAAGGGAGGGTCTTTGGATATATTGAGGTTTTTCATTGATGGTCGTTACTGTAATCCTGATATCACTGATGCTTTTGGTCGTACTCCACTTTATCTGTCAGCTCAAGAGGGTCACTTGGAAATAGTAGAATATCTATTGGATAGTCCAAGCTACAATAAACCACGTGTAGAATTAGTAGACAAGCCAGATAGCAATGGTAACACAGCACTTCATGCAGCATGCAGCCAGGGTCATCCTGATATAGTGTCTACTATAGCAGGAGCTTACAAGTCTCTTAATATTGATATTTATTCAATTAATGAGAAGAGACAGACTCCATTACACTTAGCAGCAGCTAATGGTCACGTTAATACAGTCGTGTCTCTCTTATCAGCCACTACTGGTACTAGAAATCATGAGAAGCTCCTTGGAGCAGTGGATGGTGATGGTTGTTCTCCTCTTCATTTAGCTTGTCAAAATGGTCACTATAGGATGACACTGTATCTCTCTGAGGTGTATCCAGCTAATGTTTATAGTGTGAATAATAATGAGGAAGGATTGCTTCATGGAGCTGCTGAGAGTGGTAATAAGGATCTAATCCAATTCCTAGTGGAATCACACGGTCTTGATCCAGAGTCACAGGATAAAGACGGAGTGACATGTCTACACATAATAGCAAAGCAAGGAGATAAAGAGATATACGAGTATCTTGTACCTCGTGTTAGGAATAATCCAACTCCTAAGGATAAAGCTGGTCGGTCTCCACTTCATTATGCTAGCAGACATTATGAGATGTCAGTGTATCTGATTCAATGTTTTAATATTCATCCTGA